ACCCTAGGTCAGACCCGCTTGCTGAAAAAGCCATGTCTTGAGGGCACGGCGGAAAGTTAGGAGATCCGGAATCGTCCGGATCTCGGGGGGTAGTTCGTTCCAGAGGGTGGGGGCACCCACAGAGAAGGCCCTCCCCCTGGGGGTCGCCAGCCGACACTGCTTGGCCGACGGCACCCTGAGGAGGCCCGCTCTGTGGGAGTGTACCGGTCTGTGAGAGGGAATCTGTGGCAGAAGGCGGTCTCGGAGGTTTGTTTGAAGATATATCACAAACCAAAAAATGCAGGCTGTCTCTATCAAATTTAAAGGCAGACGAAAGTTATTTTTTTAAAGATCAAAAATAGAAGTTCTAGAGAATAATAGTATTTGTTTTTTTTTTTTTTTAAAAAAAAGCTTAATTAGAACATTTTGTGGCAAAATATTTTTATTTATTAATCAAATTTACAGTATATAGCTGCTCATCTCACCAAAGGTGACTCTGGGCAGAGAATCAGAACAAAAAACATACAATAAAAATGTTTTGTTAATAAATATATTTTGCCAGACCTAGTGGAGTGAGCTGATGTAATCGGGAAGAGGCAGTCCATCAGATGGCCCAGTCCCAAATTATGAAATGCTTTAAAGGTTAAAAATAGTGCTTTGAATTGGACCCTGAAGCAAAATGACAACCAATGCAAGTTGGGGAGTAGAGGTTTAATATGTGTTGCTCTAGGAATGCACACAATTGTCCACATCACTGCTTTCTATGCCAGTTGACACTTCTGGATACTCTTCAAGTAGCCCATTTAGAGTACATTGCAGTATTCCAATCTGGAGGCAACTAGAGCATGAGTGACTAAGCAGGAGCTGCCAATCCAGGAACACCTGACCTGTCCCCCCTCCCTTTTTACTCCCCAAAGTGGAAATATTGGTTAAACAAGCTGTATCTTTCTACAGAGCAGTTTCCAAAAAAGTACTAACCACAAGTTTAAAAAGTCAGTTCTGTGACTTCATTATAACCTTTCAGGGGCTTGCAGTGCTACCTGAAATTGACTAGGCATTTATTATACAAATTGTCACTAAGTGAAGAATGGCTGTGTGAGATTTTGGTGGCATTTGAGACAAATCACACTGAATCATTTTGAACTCATTAAAGTTTCAGGATATTTATCTAAATGTAATTTTTTGGGCTAAGACTCTAGCTTAATCTTGTTCCTGTTAAATAACTGTAAGCAAAGCTGCAATTGTTTGCCATTGTAGGATTTGTAGTTTGTATTATGCATAAAATGACTAGGTAGGGCAAAAAGTTACAAAAATATACATAGCATTGTTCGTTGTCTACATAATTGAAACCAACTTTACAGGTAAGTGTGCCTAGAGCCCACTCACAAAATTGCAACCTTTTATGACTATTTTTATGAGTTCAATTGTATCAGTGGAAATAATTGTTTTAATTTCCACAGAAGAAACCAGAAATTAGAAACCACAAAGAAAAACCCAGCTGGCAAAAATAAGAAAAAACGAACAGTTTGTTAAAAGCAATCTTATTTTTTGTGTGTTCTGTTAAACTTTTCCTGCTTAAAAGAAACATCATTTGTATTATGCAATTCATAGGAATACTGTATGTCTTTGTATATATTATTAATTTTCTAATAAACTTTATAATGCTGAGATAAAATATTTTGCAAGTTGTCTTTGTAATTGTTGCTCTGTAAACAAAATCTTAAGTTTGGATTACTCAAACATTTTGCTGCAAAAGGTGGAATATTTTATGTTCTTCCCCCTTCCAGTCTCTCTAACAGATAACATCTATGACTTTTGTTTATCACTGGTGAAAAAATAATTTGGAGATGATTGATTGATGGTTAATGAAAACCAAGAGGAAACAGACATATCTATTTTTCAGAACTTGAGAAAACAGGAAAGCGAGCATTAGCTGATTGGCCATTCCTTCTACAGTAATAAGCTGAACTGGGTGGTATTTTCTTTACACCAATTCTTTGACATTAAAATTTTCTTATTGAACTTCTCAATGAAGTAGGTTGACCAGACCACATATGCCCTTCTGGTTGTTTGACCATCAGGTTTTCCCCCCTTAAAGCTAAGTTTTGCTTGTTGTATTTGACCCCTTCCCTTTGCTATGGATGTTTCACAGTATGAAGATAGCAGACTAAAAACAAAACTTTTCAATATGCAAAATACATTTTATAAATCAAGTAACTGCCGAGATCCTTTTAGAGGATTTTATTTGCCAGCTTCTAGATGGTTACACTTAGGTCTTTCCATGCATTTATTTACTGGGAGCACATTTCAAGCATTAGTTGCTTATAAGAATTAATTTTTTCTCAAATATGAATATAAAAGTCTTCCATCGATAAAATTTAACTCTTGAAACATATAAAATCTGGTATTTGCCCAACATACACACCGCTTCAATCTTGTTTTTGAACTTCAAGATTATACCAAGAGTAGAAGTGAAAAAGTACTCAACCTAAGGATCCTAACCACCTGAAGCCAGGATACAGAGCAATGTGCTCCTCCAGCAACTTAGTTAAAATTGCCATATAGCAGTAGGAACTTTGTATCATCCCACTGATTGCATGGCTGTTTCCTTTGAGGGTCAGGAAATTGGCTTGCTCAGTTGCAAACACCTTAAGTTAGTCTGATTCATGAACTAGGTTAGCAGAAGGCAGGTTTTTAATTTAATCAGATTTTTTTTTAATGGTAGGAACTACTTTTACCCTTCTTGTTATTGGAGGCTCTTCCTTTACAGTCCAGACTCACTGGTTTGAATAAAAGCTATTAATGCAGTGTTTCTAAAGCTACTTAAGTGGCATATTTAAAAAGAAAAAAATCACTATCCTTAATAGCTGATACAGCCTTCAAGTACAATAGAGATCTTGTTGTTAGCAAAAAATGTCACAGCAGTTTTCTCAAGTTTATCTACTGAGCACTTGCTGACTATTTGAAATATACTGTTGTAACTTTATTATATGCAGATATTTCATTGAACTATCTTGATTTGCAATTTTTAGAGTGAAAATCCTCACACTGGTCAACTATTTTAAAAAGGTTGAACAGTGCCACTCAGCAGTTATACCTGCATGGTTTAAGTCTTTTTCAGCACAGCTTTAAAGGGGCGCCATCTAAGCACATAGAACAAGATTGCATGTACAAAAGTTTACATTAAAACGTTATAAAAGTATAAAACCTCATAATTAGCTATGGTAATATACCAGATTGATTGAAATCTACACATTTAAAACTGTACATTTACAATGGACAATATATAGGTTTGAAATCTCACTTATATTATAATAAATCTAACGTCTCTGGTGGGTCAATGAGCGACACCGCATGGTATCTGAAAAAGATAAAAGTGACATGAATATCATTTTTGCTATTTGACAAAAGTATTTGTTTAGCTCTTTCTATATACAAATCTAGTTTAACATAACCCCTATAATTATTTCAGTTACAGGGTCTGCATTCAAGGGTCAGACTTACTTTACAGTCTTGTATTTCTCTCTGATAGACTGTTGTGTATGCTGTGCTGCTCTGCAGTAGGTCTTGTGGAGGTCTAAGAGACAAGGCTTAATAGTTTCAATTGTATATCCTGTCATTGCAGCAAGAGGATCCGTCTGTAAAGGAAAGTTAAATATTTGAAAGCTAAGTAATTCTGTTCTTGATGTTCAATTGTCATTTCAATTGCCCAGGTAGAAGAGATCATTCAGCCTAAGCCACTTGTAGAAGTGTGGTTTATAGGCTCCCAGAAATGGGTAGCTAAATTAACCACGTTAACTGATAATACATTCGTGCTTCAAAGCATCTTTTTGGAATTGAATCTGAAGCCTTTTTAAAAAATTCCTTATGGCTGAATATATATCCTCTAGATTACCCTTTTCAGTTCCATCAAAAAAATAGAAATATGCACCATGTCAATTCTAAATATCTAAAGAGACTGTCTCCAGCTATCCCTTGCTTCTAATCAATAGCTCTAAAATGATCCATGGTGGTACAGTGGTTAGAATGCAGTATTACAGGCTAACTGCCCACAGCCAGGAGTTCAATCCCAACCAGCTCAAGCCTTCCATCCTTCCGAGGTTGATAAAATGAGGACTCAGATTGTTGGGGGCAATATGCTGACATTTAGAGCAAGCAACTAAATTTCATTTTTAATGTGTGCCATTCTGCCCATAGTAAAAAATGACAATAAAGGTTATCTATCTATTTGTAAACCTCTCAAAGTGCTATAAAGTACTGTGGAACAGTATATAAGTCTAAGTGTTATTGCTATCTATGCTACAGGCAGATTGAGTAGGAGTAGACAGTCCTGTGTTAATGCACATTTCTGACAGACAAGTTGGAAGGGGAGGAATTGCTTTTATACATACCCAAGTTTTCCCAGAAATTGCATAGTTTGCTATATGAAATGCTGCTGCAGCTATTACTGATGGCAAGTATTTCAGATACGTGTCTGCATCAATTAAACTTAGTTCACTCAAATACTGTAGAAAAATAAAAAGCATAATCTTCATTTCTAATATTCTTGTAAATTTTCTAGCAAGTAATGCAAGGTCAAAATGTAAAAAGAGTTATAAAACTATTTTTAAGTAAGAGTTCATTGCAAAGTATTATATCGATCAAGACATTAGTTAAAAGCCTCCCTGTTTCGTTACTGATGAAAGCTACAGTGTAACGGTAGGAAAATATCCAGTCCTTGAGTTACAACCATTTGTTCAGCAACCATTCGAAGTTACAACGGTATTGAAAAATGCACTTACCGTATAACCAGTGCCTGAACTTATGGCTATTGCAGTACTCCCACAGTCACATGACCAAAATTCAGGTGCCTGCCCATATTTACAATAGCGGTGCTTCAACTCCTCCCACCCACCTTTCTCCCATGTACCCCCTTTTTGCCACCTGCCTTGCAGGCAGCATGAAACCCCAGAAATAAGTCAGGAGTGCCAGGATTGCCATCGTAGGTCAGTATGGCCACATGATGTCTTGTTTTATGACTGCACTGACTTACAATGTCAATTCCAGTCCCAACTGTGATCATAAGTCAAAGACTACCTATATTTTGCGTATAGGAACGTGAAGAATTTGACAATATGCTGAGCCTTCACTTCTCTGGGATTTATTTTTTTTTTAGCCACATAGCCAGAGCACAGTCTAAAATGAAGGCATTTCTTTCTTTAGAACTATTTTTAAAAGCAGTATATTCTCAAAAGACACTAATTGTAACAGATGAACAATTTTTTAAAAACTGCTTCTGATATATTCAGATTCTTTTTTAAAAAAAAAAACCAAACAAAAAACAGTCCCAACACTTACCATTGCTAAGTTTTCCACTAGGGAGCAGGCTGGCTGATGTAAGAAGTATTGAGAAAGGAATTGATTTATTGTAGGAGCTGCCAGATCAAATGACAGAACTTTCAGGACTAAGTGCTCCATTCTGAGAACTTGTTTCTTTGTGTAAGTGTCATCTGTGATATAAACAAATTCTGCTACTTCTGGAGGGTAGATTTCTTCAAACTTTCTACAGTGGGAAGAAAAGCACTGTTATATAATCAAACACCAAGTGTTTCTTTTTCTACAACTATATAGGTTCATAGAGATATTATTTGGTCATAGTAGCTAGTGTTACCCTTTATCCTACACTGCAGGTTCTTACTGCCAAATGCTTACCTGCACGTTCTAGCTGGGAAAAATATTAGAAGTAGAAATCCTCAGTCTGTGGTGGATGTTTTAACTATTAATCTAAGTTTTAAAAATATAGTTAATATATTCTCTGAAATATATCCTGGGTTTGTATTAAGCATCTTTATAATTGCATTTCAGAAAATACTGTCAGGTAAAAGAGAATTTGCACATATCTATCTTTAATGTAGTTAACAGCACATTAAAGACGTGATAGTAAACGCAATACTTCAAACTTATCTACTTACGATGCCAACAGCATAGCTGCAGTTCCCACAAGCTGAAGTTTTCCTCGTAGCACTGACATTGAAGAGAGAAACCTATCGATGTAATTTACAGCCAAATGCAAGGTTTCATTTTGTAGTTTGTATTCTTCACCAACTTCCACTAGCCAGTCCACAAGAATAGCCCGCATATTATTTGTAATATCAGGCTGTTTCTTCATATAACCCACTTTGGGTTTGCATTTCACCTGTAAAGAGATTAGCAATTACTTTGTCACTTTGAAAGTCTTCTAGCTTCTATATAATATTGATTTATAATTAACTTACTACCCTATTGCAAAAGTGCTATCAAGCTTTCAAAGTTTTATCCTAATTGGTACTTTTACACTATTAGCATATTAAACTTTTAAAAATGAAATTCCGTCCACTTGCTCTGCATTAGCTGCAAGGCAGCCATGTAAATACACCTCAAGATGAAAGAGGAAGACATATTTAAAATATTCATGCTCAAAATTTTTTTATATATAAATATTTTATTAATGTTCTAGTTTTGCAATCACAAGTACTTAACAAACAACATGTTGTCTGTGTCCATTAGTAATTCAGTGGTACATATTAACTTCCTCAATCTAGATCCAATACTACACCATCCAGTGCTTCCTCTCTTCTTCCGGTGGTATACATTTTTCCACACTAGGCAAATACAATTCTTATTGCTGTTAATACATATACAATTGAATATCAACATCTTTGTCACATTTTTCTAATATTATACATAATATCAATAGTGTGTTTAAAATATCTTTTCTAACCAAAACATATCTCAATTGCATTTGCACTTAAAATCCATTTGTTCAATCAATATCCTGTTTTTCCCGCTTTTTTAAAATTTTTGATTAATGTTCAAAGTGTCTCTATTGCTTATACTTTTCTCATAATAAATTATATTTGTGTAATCAAAAGCTTCCCTTATTCAGACCCTCTTAGCATTTTCATATTTCCCTTCTCATATCAAAATATAATATTCTAGTTGCAGATCCTATCTTTCTAGTTATAATACTTTTATTTCTAACAATTATCTATTCTCTTAGCCATGTTCAAACATCTATTTAATAATATAATATCCCATCTAATGGGTCAAAATCTGTATTTTCTTCAGTCTTACTCTAGCTTGCTTCCTTTGCCAACTAACTTTCCAAGTCAATGCATTTGAGTTATCAAGTAGTTCTTCCTCTATTTTTGTGTATATTGTTTGGAATAAGAAAGTTTGATTAAAGTATTTTTGGAAGAACGCTCAGCCCATTTATATTCATTAAACAGCCTCCCCCCTTCTCCAATTTTCCACAATTCTCCTAACAGCTTTATCTTCCATTCGATCAGCTCTTCTTCCTTATCCTCAAATGTGTTCTGAGATCTTGACAAGTAAGATATCTTTTCCATTTCCGATATTATCACTACGTCTTCTAATTCTTCATTTGTCTTAGTCTGTCTGTTGATTCCTCCCTTTAGTCCTCCATCTTTGGATCCGCTTCCTCTAATTTTCCTTCTATTTTCTGGGTTACTAGTTCCTTCTTTGTAGTCATTTTCTGAATTTGTAGGTTTAGATTAGAAAATTGTTCTTTTATCTCCTTTGCGTTATTTTTAGTCTCATCATGAGCTAAGGCAATTGTCTCTTGCATTGATTTCAATGTAGAAAGAATTTCTTTCTGAGATTCATCAACATTTTCTTGTTGGTATGTCAAGCTGGGGGCTTTGAAGACAAGTGTTAGCCTTAAATGGTAAAAAACCATCCCTAAGTACCGAACATCCATTTTGTTTTTGTCTGTGGTCTTTATAGTCCAATCTATTTAAGGATTTAAAACATTTCAGTCAATTGTCATTGAACTCCAAATTATCCAGCCAGCCTATCAGTCCGTCCTTAAGCCTCCCCTAAACAAATATAAGCAAAATTCAAGTTTTTCTGTCCAATGAAAACAATATCCTCTGTCCAGAGAGAAAAAAAGCAATTAAAAATTGTTCATCAGTCAAAGGTTTATAATCCAAATATTCCATCATCTCAATCAGTAATGTATGTTTCTTCCACAGGGAAATAGCTCTACGACACAGCTCTAAATGTCAGTTAGTATTTGTATTCGCAGGCCAGTTTCAAAATAGTTTATTGTCTCTGCCACACAGATAAGCAGCCCAAGAGGGGGGGGTGTCCCCTTTTCCCAGCTGTAGTCTTCAAAAGTGAAAGTTTCCAAGGACTACAAAAGTCTTATCTGAGTCTGGGTTTCAAGCCAAGTTTCCTTTAAGCATAATAGATTGTAGTGCCATGATTTGCCACTAGATGTCGTTGACACCGTCTTCCAGCTTTTTAAATCCAAACTTATATTGCAAGCTTTTCAAGTCTCTTTTCTAAAAAAAGTCTCAAAAGCATTTTTAGTCCCCAAATTTCAAAGCTATCTATCTGTATTGATTCCAAATTAATATTGTAATTTTGTTTTCCCCCAAGCAATTAGTTCGCTGCTTTTCTTTCCCTGAGGGAATGGGGTGGAAATTTCCCTTCCCTCTCTCATCGGGGAGGATTCTTTGCTTTGGGCAGTTTTTTTTCAGGCAAAAGTCATAAAGAGAGGACAGGGTCTCACCCAGTTCCATCCATTGCTCAAAAGTTGCTCGTTAGTGCTTATTTTCTTCGGTTGTCAGCAGCTTCTGACTGGCCACATGAATGTTGCCAGTCTTTCCCCGCCGGTTTGGAGGGCTTCCTCAGATCAAACAGAAGGGTCGCCACCCCTCCACGATCAACAAGGATCCCTTCCTTCTCCATTGCCTCTCTTGGGCAACTTTCGACCCTTTTTAGGGTCCCCAGCTGGGCGAAATCCTATATGGAAGATGGAGCCCCATCTTCCTGCGTCCGTCACGCTGTGACATCTAACCGGAAGCCCTCAAATTTTATTTTTGATATAGAAAGAAAAAGTATTGGATTACCCACTAGCCATATAAGAGCTACATTTTATAAAGATAGACAAGAAAGGCAAAACAAGCTTCCTTTTTGATCAGTTGAAAGTAGGCTCCAACCCTCTCCAATGCCATTACTTGGAGTAGATGGCTTTCAGAGATGGTAATTATCACATGGCAATGTGCTTTATAAATGTGCTGCCTTTGAGGCCTCTTGACAAATTCAACTGGTGCAATATACTGCAGCCCAATTGAGCTTTATTGTAGTCATACAGCACCAGTTTTGTGAGCTCTATGTTGGCTTCTGATGGGTTTCCCAGGTACAGTTCCAATGCTTATAAAACTCCAGATGGATTGATTTCTAAATATCTTCAGGACTATCTCTTTGCACACACCTTTCAGTAGGGAAGCTTAAATCCACCTTAAATGTTCAGATATTAGCAAAATGAAATCCGGACATGGTGTCTCTGTTACTGCCTCTTCATTTTGAAATAGCCTCTCTTCAGTAAATGGCAGATACCCTGATGGTCTTCAGAAAGGTCTTGGAAATTGTATTGAACTGACATTTATTTTTATTTATTACATTTATTTGCTGCCCATATCACTTCAAAATGAAATTTGGTAATTGTTGCCAAATTTTAAAATGGATGCTGAGGAGTGTCAACAACATGTTACTTCACTGTTTTTATTAATTCATGTATGTTCTATTTTTGTTTCATTGTCCAACAACCAAAAGGCATATTGGAATTACAGCAATAAAGCAATAAAGAAACTATTAGACTAGAATCTTGTCCAATCTAAACTAACGAGGTGCACCTTAATCTAGCCGTTCTCGGATTAGAGCTAGCAAGAGAACTGAGTCTTTATTTAGTGGTAGCCATTTACTCTTTGTCCCACTTAATTGTATAAAGGGCGCTAGTGACCTTTTAAACACGTGCTTACCTACTCTTTTTCAAACTCGGTATACAATTGCTTAACCCAGACAAAAAAAGATACAAGGCAATTTAAAATATATGAAAGGAATAAGAATTGATGTGCACCTGTAACAGAATTGAACTGCATAGGCAAGCTTTCTAGCTGTCATTGGTTTAGCCTGGTATAATTTAATGCACATTCTACAAGGGAACCCGTCACATATATAAAGTAATGTGGTCTTCTGAAGAATCATTTTCTTCAGTTTCTCTGGGCCTTTAATATATTGTACTGAACATATTATGACACTTATTAGTCCCACAAGGTTCACTGAAATTCTACTCTGGAAGATAGACTTTTCCTTGTTGCATGCGAATAGCCCTGCAAGATCCCAATATGCTCCAGTTAGGAATTAGAAATAGTTACATTATAATATCACTTCTACTGACCAAGCAAAAGGGGAAAACTCTCAGGTATCCTTGCCCAACATTTCTCAAATTTGGAATAGATTAGACATATTCACATGTTTAAAGTTCAACTAGATGGTTTTCCCCCCATTAGCATAATCCATTCTTACCTCCATTTCTCTAAGATACTTATAGATATCCTCAATATAATCTGGGACATGGTTTACATTAATTTTCTGTTCTGCTTCTATTGACATATCCATAATACTCAGTGACCCTAAAATGAAAGGTATAGGTAAAATGTTTAGGCTTATGAAGCCTCAAATATAAAGCAAGCAATGGATACTACAAAAAACTTAAGTTCTTTCAAACCCAAAGTTGCTCTTGATTGGAATATGCCATGATCTCAGTATTTTAAGAAGCAATATAAATCCATAATAGACATTTCCCATTGTAACTAGTCTTAAGACTTTCAGTGGTCAAAAGCCATATGAGTGATATCCACAGATAAACCGCTAAAGAAGATTCTTCATGGTAAAATAGAATGAGTATTCACCACCAATCTTGATGTAAGGTTCAATGCACTTTCTGCAGGCTCAAACTACAGTTCACATAATGCAAGATCCTGTATTCACCTCCTTGCTTTAAATTCAGGAAATAGCAAGGGAGTGGGATGGATCCCACTTGAAGGGCCATGAGCTTCAACTAAGCTTCCAGACCTTTTGGACATCATAGGAAGTAGGCTGAAATTTAAAATGGCCCCAAGTAATAAAAATATTAGTGTTATGAAAATAAGGAATAGGCTCATGAAGGAACAGATGGTATTAGAGCAACAAAGTACAGGAAACACTTATTTTACTTCATAATTCCATTTAGTAACAGACTGTACAGAAGGAACCGTCCTCACATGAACATTCACTGTGACAAAAATGGTATTATTAAAAGTACTTTTGAAACACTTTTCTACCTCTCTAAAATACATTAGCAAAGTCTGCAATATTAACAGAATCCAGATTACTTTAAGGTTTATACTGAAGGTAGAATGCAACTGACATATTCAGTCTTAAATTAAAAACCAGTGACAAAAAACCATTCAGGTTTAAAGCAAAACTTGAAATCAAAATATACTTTTGAAGCTGCATTATATGTAGAGTATACAACTATTATATCACACAAGTAATAGAAGCCAGGAAGTTCTTGGTTTTTCAGTGAGATGATCTTGTGAAAAATAGCTTTTCACTGAAAGAAATATGTACAATTGCCATAGCTGAAATTGATTAAATCTGAATAAGCTTTTATAATACCATAAGCAAAAAGAAGCTACAAAAACAAGTGATATATTTAGCAGAGGCTTTAAGCGTAATCAGAATCAATCACTACAATATATATTTTTAAAAAATAGGATATTACCCTCACCAGAACTAAGATCCATTGGATTATCTATAGGAGTAAGAGGTTTTCTGGTTTCCATTGAAGCAACAACTGCCTTCAAGCCTATGGTCTCTTCACAGGATGACATCTTTTTGCTGGACATATGTTTCTTTTGTCTCCTGTTATCAGGCTCATCCAAGTGGATAGTAAAAGCTGGCTGTTTGTTTCCCATTTTACCATTGAGGACACCAAGATAATTCTCATCATTTGTACTCCAAGGTATTTGACTATGGGGAGCCTGTAAGAAGAAGAAACACAACAATCAGTCACCTAGTACTTCGCTCTCCCAAATGATGTTTTCGCCCATACATTAGGAGGTAATCTTTCAAAGCAAAGATAGCACATTGCAATACAATGTGGTCCGCGTTACAAAATACAACTGAAATCACTCATTCTAAGTGAAGATAATGGGAACAGGCAACACCAGGTGAGCAAAAGTGGCCGGATGAACAGAACACTAAGCCAAAACCAAGTTATGTCTTGGCATGTTGCATGAAACGGATCAAATTTCTCTGCAGCCCTCTAGGCAGCCAGTCAGTGTTCTGCTGATTACTATTAAACACATTGCTCAACAGTTCTGTGTTGAATAATCTATGATCCATCTTCAGCTATCCATAAAAATGGATGGCATCAAAGCTATCTCAAGCTCCAGAAGAAATAATAAAGGTATGACATGGCTTGTTTGGCTGTGGCCTAGCATGTGGCCTAAGTATTCAGAGTTTTTTTGTGAGGGACAGGGATGAGAACCTCCATCCTTACAATCATAGACTTTCGACACAGATATTCTCATCCGACGTCAGTCCGAAGGGCTTTTCAACGGCCTTTCGGTGCGACTATCCGCATACTTTGCTAAGGGAAAAGTGCTTTAATAATAATAATAATAATAATAATAATAATAATAATAATAATAATAATAATAGTAAAGTTGGAAGGGACCTTGAAGGTCATCTAGTCCAACCCCCTGCTCAGGCAGGAAACCCTATACCATTTCGGACACATGGCTGTCCAGTCTCTTCTTAAAAACGTCCAGTGTTGCTTTATCCAACAGCAAACAGCGGCCCAAGCGTTTGTCCACCTGGATCAAACAGAAACGGTAGGGCCTTCTGCCGTCCAGCGAGCAGCCTAACTTTGTCTCTACCTGCCTGCGGAAGGCGACTCGGTAGCCAAGCCAACACGCAGAAAACGTCTTCCCTCCGCTTTCGAAAAGGCCCTGAAGCGTAAGAGGACCACGCTGGCTGCTCATGCCCCTTGCCCCAGCAACTCAGGAAGAGAATAAGAGAGCTCCAAGATGGCGGGTAAGGGGGGGGGGGTGTCTCTCGACTTCGGCCAGGGAGACGGGCATCCCGTCCAGGCCGGCTGAGAAGGGCAAAAGCGCCTTACCTGGGGCTGGGTGGAGCGGCGTTGATTAGCTTGCAGAAGCCCCAGCGCCAGTCGGTGTCCAGGAGCACCCGCAACCTTGGGAGCCTCTTTTGCCCCCGGCGGCACATTTTCCTGGTTCTCCAGGTCCACTGAGGTGCCCGTCAGCATGATGGCTGTGCTGACAGTGGGACCCGCAAACTGAGCTGGAGGAGGAAGAAGAAGGAAAAAAAAAACCACCCGCTCGCTGGCGCTGCGGCCCGCTCCGCTCTCGCCGTTCAAGTAGCCCGCGACTATTGAATCCACCAATGGGAAGGCGACTCTCGTACGTCACTGCAACGTCACTGTTGATCGCGAGAGTCAAAAAAAAAAAAAAGGAGGGGCGGGAAAGAGAGGGCGCGGGAGAGATCACGTGGCTCTTGGGTTTTGTGCTTGTTATTCTTGGGTTAAAAAAAAAGTCCAGTCTCAAGAAGTCGCGGGCCGTAAGACTTGCCACTTCGTGCGCATAATAGGTTGGGGCGGAGGCTCCAGAGTTCAACATCTCTGTTCCTCCTATTCGACGCGGCTGGACTAGACCAAACGGGACTGGGGGGTGTCAGGTATTGTTTTTCTATTCAGCTCCTTTTGCCATGATAGACACGTTTTGGGGTAACAATATGTAAGTGGCTTGGCATTACTTTCTGAATGTCTTTTTCACCTTCCGAGTCTAGTTTGTGGCCATACTGACGTTGTTTAGCTTTATCCACGTGTAGGCAAAGCGTGGTTCGTTCAACCCTGTTCGTTGGATTGGCACAACGGAGAGATTAACCCGTCAAATCCATTTTATCTTATGCTGTTGTCTTATGGCTGTGTCCTTGGTATATAATATCGTTTATATTGAATAACATGTTTTTGTCGAATTCCTTGGGCCACTGCAAGTCCATTTGTTACGGACAAGAAGACTATAAGAATGTTAATAAAATTATTTTTCTTTGTCCAGTATTGTTAAATTAAAAAGCAGCCAGTACAGCCAGAATTACCATATTACTCTGATTTTCTGCATCAACATTGAAAAGCAGATATTTAACAAGCTAAGCAATATATTCCTTCTTCAATCACGAAAATCTTTTTTTTTTTTAACCATGAGTGTAGTGGCTGGGGCTTAGTGGAATTTCTCCCATGCACAATAAAATAATTATTACCTGCCAAGATGACTCAGCCGTCATTGGAAATGATTTTTTATCACATCATAGTATGGTATAAAAAAGTCTGAACTTGTATTTTTGGGACATGTGGCTTATCCAAATTTCATTTGTGCCTAAATTAATCCTTAGCAGCTTCAGCAAAAATGCTTTTTACCTATTATAATTTCGGCTGAAGGAAAAATTGTAAGAGTTTTTCCCAATGGCTAAGGTATACTGTGCCGGGCTCTGCCTCTCTGAGGCCAAGGGCATGTCAATAGTGATCACACATGCCAGATTCTACAATCTCTCACCAAAATCCCTTCCAAGAAGTTTGGGTTTTAACAGTAAATTGCAACCATGGAAAGTAATTCAGAGGTAATCCATTTTATGAGGAAGGGGAACAGAACAACTACGTTGTGTTACTTTATGCACTAAAAGTAAAGAACCTTGATATTAATAAATATGCAATTGTCTCCTCAAGCCTCATGATGGCAACTGGCAGTTTAGAATTCTTTCCCTCTCTGTCTCCCTCCCTCCCACGTGGTATCACAGAACACAACACAACAATTCAGTAGAAATAAAAAGACTGTAATATATATAAACTATGTAAATGGAACACCAGTTTTCTTCATTTGCATCTTGATATCTTCTTTCATTGCTTTTTCAGTTCTTGTAGTTCAGGTAGCACTATCAAAAAATGCAAGTAATGTATTTTGATCATAGCTTCCTAAAATTTCCAGAAGCAGAGGAACTTTGGTTTTCACATTGGTACCTTTGAACTTAAATTTGTCTATGAACAAATCAGTAATCATACCTGAAAAATAAAATATACAAAACATTAACTGATCAAAATCAGAAAACTATTTTATGTACTACTGCAAATGTTTAATAAAGCACAAAACCCATGGGAAGTCATTTTATGAATGATCTATAAAATATAGGTCATGTGGAATAATCTGAATGAAATATAGCTGTAGTTTAGAAATCTTAATAAACAGAATATAGAACCAAAGAAATCAATGGTAGGTTTTTGATTACTGTGCAGTCAGTTTTCATGTATATTTATTTTAAATATATAACTAGCTCATTACATATGTATTTTCTACTTGCAGTATTCAATATGGCCAAAGACACTAGGAAGATCTGTTCCAAGCAAAGAAATAAACAATGATCCCTAGCATCTGGAATATTTCAAATATTTATTTGTATTAAATTATATTTACATATACTTTTTCTATTAAAAATAAAGCACTTCTATATATATTATCCACTACTTAACTATTTCCATCCTTGCCTTTTATATAAATCATTTGCACTGTGTGTTTAAAGGCTAAAATGTCTTTCATCAAAAGGAAACAAATATTTGACAAGAATGACACATTTGTTTTCCCAGAAGCCATAATTACTAGAACAAGAATAGTAGAAAAAGGTTAATGAACCAACCATAAAGTCTTTCAAGAGATGTTGGCTGTTTCTTGTGTTCTTTGAGCAGCTGATCTGACTCTTCCAAAATATTGCGGTATTCCGGAATCAGGAAATCCATGTTACCTTCATGAGCCTGCAATTCCTTAATCAGATAATAATAAATTGTTAAAACAATAAAAAAAGTTCAAGTAAAATATGCAATAGTTGGAAGATTACATGAATCCAATTAAGAATCCAGATAAATGGATTGTTTAATCAAGTCACAATTTTCTACTAAGACTATAACCTGAAGGTTCCCCTATTTTTTAAAAGTTAAAACTCAAAAGAGACATGCAAGCTGTTATTTAATTATGCTACTGTTATGAGTATTTTCAGAGTCAACAGAGACTAACTACACTGTGGGTGTGCTACAAAACATAGCGCCTGTTAGCAATTTCTTATAACAGCTGCAACCAGTATCTGTAATCTGCTCTTTATAGCTGCATAATCCCAGGAAAACACTTGAAAAAAGTTTTGTTTTTTCAGCTACATAAATTAAAAACCTTATTGTTTACAGGTGTTTGATTCACATATAAATTTATTTCATATAAACTTTTAAACTATGTTTAAATTATATAGTTTGCAAGGCTTGCATTACAAACACAGCATTCTGTATATTTATATGTTTAAGATACTTCTAATCTTCCCAATAACTAAAATAGTTCAGAAGATTACAGGTAAACAAATAGAAGAGCCATAAAATAGATTTAATAACATAAGAAGGAGATGAATGGTTAAAATATTATGATGTACTTATAATCAAACAATTGCAAATACTTTTATACTTGTAATTCATTATTATTCTTTGCTAATAATTATTTTTTGCTAGTTACTAGTCAGAACGCAACTAGTAATATTTGAAACTGGCATATAATAATTCAGACTGTTTGCCTACTGACCACAATATTGTCTGTTCTGTTTTGAAGCAGTTCTCTAAGTAAAGATGATTCCTTCTATAATTTTAATTGCAAGGACAAGTTGGAATGTTCTATATATAAAAGCACACATTCTATTACTTATTGTCACTGATTTACTGAATTCTAATTTTTTGAATTCTCAAATATCATGACTAATTGCATATTAATAGTTTTTCTAAGAAGAAACACCTATCATGAAACAAACTGATGGTGGAACTGAACAGATCCATTTGATATTCCAGTTTAATGAATAATCACACTATACTTTATCAACAATAATGTTTAGTCTATTATCTGATTATCACTTTTATAAGTTGTCCAAAGCTGCTGGATGGCATATAAATCTATTAAATGGAGAAATCCTATAGTTTTGAAAACAATTAATAAACATGTAATACAACAAAAAAGATTACACAACAAATAAGCAAAACTATCAACTAACATTAAAGACTTACTTTTAAAGCATCTATTAGTTCAACTTTTTTAGCCAACATCAACTGGTACTCTAATTTTGGATGGATAAGGTTTAATGTATGATTCACAGATGCTTCATTCATATCTAAAGACCCAACAAGAAAAAAAATCAATAGCTATATATTTTGTATACAGAATGAAATCATAAAATGTAAGAGAATCTTACCACATGATATATTGAGGTTAATTTTCCTTTTAGTGGCTTCTTTAGAGAGTACATCCTTGAGGATGGATATTGTGGATATATTGTCAGATTTGAAATAACCCTCACCTTTCCTAAATAAACAACATAACACCCATTTAAAAGAAAGAATCTTGGAGAATTATTGTAATTCTAAACAGCACAACTAATACTTTAAAGTATTTTTATGAGTTGGCTAACGTTCATTAAGTAGTTTGGTCCCTAATGTAAATATTTCCCAATTGAGAAGTTTTAGATGAATTTCAAAATGTTCTAATGTTATAACTCTTCAAACAAGTTTGATTAAACATCAGTTTTTATTAACTCATCTCTTTGGAACTGAAGCATATAAAAGAAGAACTATGGAGAAAATTCAAAATCTGTTAAATAAAAAGGAAAAGTTGCAGATATTTTTAAATTGAATTTTCAATATTATCCTTTCTAAGCTGTATTTTATATATGTGATTACACCACTAGATACACACCAAGGCTATTGATATTGTGTGCAGGTAGTCCTCGACTTACAACAGTTCATTTAGTGACCATTTAAAGCTACAATGGCACTGAAAAAAGTGACTTATGACCATTTTTCACACTTAAGACCACTGCAGCTTCCCCTTGGGTCACATGAACAAAATTCAGATGCTTGACAACTGATTCATATTTATGACAGTTGCAGTGTGCTAGGATCATGTGCTCACCTTTCGTGACCTTCAGATAAGCAAAATCACTGGGAAAGCAAGATTTATTTACCACTGAAGAGGAATCAGAATGGGATCACTAATGGATAATGACATAAAATTAGATCAGTGTACCATGCACAGTTACCCTCTGGGTGAAGAAAAATTGAGGTTTTACTAGTCAGGATAAATTTTAAGTGAACCCTTGGTTAATACTTTAGGAAATTTAGTAGCAGCTACATTTTACGGTAGGCCTCTTCTTTTAGCAGAGGGGTTACTATTACCAATTAAAGAGATAGTTGGAATGGTTGGAACTGTTTTTAGGTTA